GTTGGCGCCGGGTTCCTGCTGCTCCTGCAGAAGCTGGAAGATGCCCGGAGCCAGGAGTCGCCGATGAAGCCCATCCCGAAACGGGTGCTGGGACACGCGTTCATCTTTGCTGTCACGCACAAAGAGGAGAGGCCCTGGACCACGGCGAGGAGTCGGGCTGTGGCTCAGGAGGTGCTGGAGCGGCTGCTCCGGACTGCAGGCTGCGGGTCCGTGGAGGAATTCCTGCAGGGAAAGGAGGGGGATGAGGATGGAAGATTCGGAGAGGTGATGGGGCTCCTGAAGCAGGAGTTAACCAAGTGAGTGAGGAGCAGAGTGGTTGGAGGGTCTCTATGGGAAGTACTGGGAAATTTGGCACTTGAGATGATAAGTGTGAAACCAGGAGCTTTCCAAATGGAAGGTGTTGGGGGATGGTTGTCAGGGTTTGCTGCCAGCTGAGAGCCTCAAGTGGAAGGAAAATGAGCCCTGTGAGTTCCCTGAGCTGTCCTGTCTCTCCAGAGACACCTGGAAGTGTAACCCAGCCTCCAAGGACGTGTTCTCCTGGTCCCTGCTCCGTGTCAGCCGGCCCTGGCTGTGCCCGCACCTGGAGCGGGTCCTGCCGCCCGCGCTGCTCCTCTCCGACGACTTCCAGGAGGAGAACAAAGTGCTGGGCGTGCGCTGCCTGCACCACATCGTCCTCAACGTGGTGAGCGAGGGAGGGGCAATCACGGGATGTCCTGAGCTGGGAGGGACCCACAGGGATCGAGTCCCAGCCCTGGCCCTGCACAGATCCCCAGCAATCTCATCCATGAGCGTTTCCTGGAGCTCTGGCAACCTCGGGGCTGCGCCCGTTCCCTGGGCAGTGCCCAGCACCCTGTGGGGAAAGAACCTGTCCCCAAAATCCAGCCTGACACAGCTCCAGCTGTGGGTCAGGTTCCCAACTTCTCTTCCTGGTGAATGGCAGGGTTTGACCTGCATTTTCTGCAGTTCCCCAGATTCTGGAAAGCCATGGCAGGGTTTAACCTGCAGTTCCTCACACTCCCCAGGCTTTGGCAAGGCCATGGCAGCGTTTAACCTCCATTTTCAGCAGTTCCTCAGACTCTGGGAAGGCCATGGCAGGGTTTAACCTGCAGTTCCTCACACTCCTCAGGCTTTGGGAAGTTTAACCTGCAGTTCCTGCAGTTCCTCACACTCTCCAGGCTTTGGGAAAGCCATGGCAGGGTTTAACCTGCATTTCCAGCAGTTCTCACACTCCCCAGACTCTGGGAAGGCCATGGCAGGGTTTAACCTGCAGTTCCTGCAGTTCCTCACACTCCTCAGGCTTTGGGAAGGCCATGGCAGGGTATAATCTGCAGTTCCTCACACTCCCCCAGGCTTTGGGAAGTTTAACCTGCATTTCCAGCAGTTCCTCACTGGGTTTAGCTCCCTGTGCTGCCCAGGGGTGACATCCTGCTCTCTGTTGTTGCAGCCAGGAGCGGATCTGTGCCAGTTCAACAGGGCCCAGGTGGTTTTCCATGCCCTCTACAACCACCTGTACTCACGGGAGGCTCCTCTCATCCAGGTAGGACAGGGCTGCCCTGGGTTGGTGGCACTTTTGGGGTGCCCTGGGGTGCAGGGAGCCCCTCAGGTTCAGGCAGGAGGATCTCAACCAGGAAATAGATTCCATGAAAACACCACAGAGGGAGGAGCTGTTCCCTCCTGCCCCATTCCAGGTGGGCAGGGAGCAGCTTTGAAGCCCTCAGCTCAGCCACGGGGTTGGGATTTGTTGTGTTTTGGAGCGAACAGGAGCTCAGAGTTCCCATTGTCCCCAAACCAGGCGGTGCTGCTGT